CCTGGCGGGCGTGGCGCTGCGTGGCCGGCTGCGCGGTGGAGCGCGCCTCGCCGTGGCGCCTGGATCCGTCCGGCAGGCGGCGTGGGCGGCGGCTGGGGTCCGGCCTCAGCCTCCCGGCGGCTGCGTTGGTTCCTCTCCGTCGCGGGCGTGCGGTGGTGGTGCGGCTCGGTTGGTGGCGGTCCGGCGACCTGGTGGTGGTGGCCGGCGGTGCGCGTGGAGGTGGTGCTTCCACTTGGCGGCTCTCTGTGCGGGGAGGCAGGGGAGCGGCTTGGACAGGGGCGGCGCCGCCGACAGCGTGCCGGCTGCAGCGTGAAGGCGGGAACTTTACGGGCCTCAGAGATCCTTGCCGGGCATGTGCGGCCACAGGCCTGGTATGTTCCCGTTATTGCGTCCGGTCAGCTACCGTCATTGACGGTGGAGGTGGGGCCCTCCTGCGTGCCGACGGTGTTGCTGCCCTAGTCCCGGCTCCTTTTCTTCATTGTGCAGGCCATGCTTCACGGTGCCGTGGTGAGACAGCGTGGGTAGCTTCATGACCGGGTTGGCGCAGGGTGGTGGTCAGTTTGGTGGTGAGCTCCGGAGTGCCTGAGGTGAAGGTTGGGATCGGGAGAAATCCCTGTTGGCTTGGCCGACACCAACACGGTGGCGCATGAGGGTGCCGCCGGACCTTCCTGGAGGGCGTCGGGGCTATCCTTCCTCTCTCCTCACCGCATACCGGGGAAACCCTTGGCAGCAGCGTCGTCATCGTCGCGTCCCTTCTTGTTGGAGGTGCTTCGGAGGCTCGAAGCTTGGTGGGCGATCTCCGGTGGATGCAGCGGCCACGAGGCTTCTTCGTTTTTTGTCGATCCGCCGTTGTCGGCATTTGTTTCTCTTGTATTTTCTCTTTCATTCCTTTTGGGTGTGTCTGTGCTGCTTCCGCCCCAGCACCTATCGTTGGTTGTCCCGATTGGTTGCTTTGTATACAAAACGGGGGAAAACCCTTTTTCGGTAATTTGAAACGGAGCGAGTGTTTAGATTTCTAGCCTATTAATGCATAGTATACTTTGTGTGTCAATATTCATACTTCAGACTACCATACAATGAATCTTACCATATTGTCAAGTCCGAATGGATTGTAGACCACAAACATTTTTTGCATAAATAAGCAAGACATTGATTTATAAATTGTCTCTATCAGCGCAAAACGATGGGTGCCTCTTTCCCTTATTTTGCTATCATGCATGTATCATTTCGGCACGTACAGCAGCCAAATGTCAAGCCTGTTGACGTCGTCCTAATCACTACTGTACCACACTATGACACCGAAAACACAAGCAATTTCGCTGAATGGAAAAGCACAACCCCTAGGGAGAATCTGCTGTCGATCTCCTCTAGAAACAATCGTGGTATCTGTCAAGCAGTGCTAACAAAGGCCAAGTAAACCTATGGTAGTTGTAACATGGCACCAGGTCGGATCGCAACATCTGTTTTTTCAAATCACGTGGCCGGGAAATGCACGTAAGTGGTAAGTATTACGAAACTACTTGACGAACGACAGTCCTTGGACGATGCTTGCACGACCGATGATCCAACGGTGCAAATCCACGCATTAGATGTGATTAAAGGCTCAGCTGGCTCTGTCGTCCATAAATCGTGCAAGGAGTGTCGTGTGTGTAGCAATGCTGTAAGTATTATTGCCCGACTTTGACCTTTAGGCTGTGTTCGGTTGGCATGGTTTTGAAGGGGTTTGGCAGGGATTAAATCCCATACAAGTCAAATCCCTGCCAAAACCACTCCAATCCCCTTGAGACGGGGTGTAACCGAACAAAGCCTTAAGGGGAAAGTTCGTGGAAGCTGAAGGTTCAACACGTTACTTTTATCATTTCGATGCGCAGAAATCCCGGATCTCCTAAGGCAGCATGAATCAGAAAGAAGAAGACGGGTGGGCTCATAAGAAAATAGGCTGAAGATTTCTGAATACTTAAAGCTTTCCCCACTAAAAGATGAACATGTTCTGATGTTCATAGTTTCATACACGCAGAGTCACAGTTACATGGAACAGAGAATGACAGATTCCTGATGAATGGTTTCACAGAGACAAGCGCAAGATCATGAATCACCAAGGGCAGGGAATATAACCCGAGCACGAGTAATTGAATACATAATCAGAACATGATTGGGCAAGAATCCACCACAGCAGTTGTCAATCCAGCAGGACAAACAAGAACAATAAATGAAAACTGAATCAAGAAAAAATCTCCATGCGTACCAGGATCGACCTCGACGGGAGCCCCGGGAGACGAACAAGACCTGCGACGATGACCAAGCACCGGGGTTCCGAGAGTCCCTGGCGCAATGGCGGCGAGACCTGGACTGGCGTTAAAAGGAGAGATGTCGATAGAGTTGGGCTGGACTTTTCTCCTCCAGCTGAGTCCTGACCTCTCGGAGGGACAGAGGGAGGAGCTGGGCCGGGGAAGGAAGCGACACCGAAACGACGGCGTGGAATGAATCTGTGGAATCTCACGCCACTGCTGTTGATGTTGCGATGGGGAGGGATTTGGAGGAGCCGGCCATTAAGGGGTCAGCTTGTGGACGATGAAGAGCTTTGCGGAGCGGTTAATGACTTGCGCCAAAGTGCTTTGGATTCTGACGTGTGGGATCGGGTCCGGTTCGTAGTGGACATCGCATCCCACCAGATGTGTGACGGGGCCCGTACTGCATGCATGTGAACGGCACAGGGACCCCCAAAATATCGTCTCTTTCGGCACAGGGGAAGGTCGGCAGTCCACGATACGGTACTAACTCCGTATTGTTTGTGCCAAACTTTAACCATATATTTAAGTAAGAAAATAATAATGCATGTCACCAAAAATTATATCATTTGATTCGTATTTGAACATAGTTTTCAGTGGCATTATTTTCGGTTACATGCATTAACGTTTTGTTAGTTAAATCTAAGGTCGAAATTTAGCATAATGTGCGAACGAGACCAGTAAACCAGGACTGAGGTAGTACTTGCTATGGTCCCTACACTGTCTTGTAGGATGTGCGTCTGTTTGTATCAAAAATGCGTTTCATTGAATTCATATTTGAACAAAAATTAAAATTTATCTTTGTTTGTCGCATAATTTATATTTTGTTGATCAAATCGAAGAGCCAAAAATATATGCACACCAACAAACAAGATCCTTTCGATCTACGTTATTCTTCATCGACGGCGGTTGCTGTTCTGGTGCGCTAGTCCTATGGGGACTTAGCATGACGACTTCCCAACTGTCTACTACAACAAGTTGTGCCCAACCCCAGCGATGGAGAGGCGATGATAGCGGAGCACCTTCGGCTTGCTTTAGTCCTTGTAGTCGTCGGTAGGTGGTCTATGAATTTGGATGTAATTTTTATTATTTATGGTGTTCATTGTACTACCGTGATCGAGGATGGATAGATTGAAAGTTTTCTGGAGAAAAAAACAAGGACGGGGAGTGTACAACAATACAGCATATGAACTTCGTTAGCTCCAATTACGTTAGAGTTTTTGAACTTTGATTGCCTCCAGACACTTTGGGAGTAGTGTGATAAACCCAAAATCCAAGTTGTAAAAAGAAAGCACAGTCTTGTGAAAATCCGCAAAATGTGCACTAAGGTCACCTTCAATCACCTTTCCAAAAGGACCACTAAAACTCCATAGGACAACCATCCGGCCCTGCCGCCTTATTACGCCTTATTACACTCCATCTGAAAGACCGGTTGTCTAACTCTATTGTTCCGTGAACTCGGTCGTAAAATAGCTCTCACCGACCTGGTGTACATCATCAACGACTAGATAAACATAAATTTTAAGTCTAGGAGACACCAATGAACATCCAAAACCTTGACACCCACTCCTGTCCTTGAACACTTCATGGATGTCCCCTCTCTTGGCTCGACCATTGTCTCCGCAAACTTTGCCTCACAACCCTAACCACTCCGACAAGATCACGAGATTGATTATGAATTGATTGCGAGTTTGCAACCAGAGAGAAAAGCAGTTACATATGAATATTAAAAAGAGATCATAGACATGAGGTTTCTCTATGACCATCATCTTTTCATATATATGGAGTTTTTTTGCGGAGGGTATATATGGAGTAACTTGGGGAAATGGTAAAAACAAATTCGATTAATATTCCTGAAATGGCAGCTGCATATTAAAAATTTAAGTGTATAATAAAATACAGATGGAAGACGGGTAAATAATAAGTGAATTATTCTTTAGTGTTTCAAATTATTGGCCAACGGAATATGGAACTGTTGTGAGATCACTTGTTTGGGGATATACTAGTAATAACTATTTTTGTAACATCACATGCAAGATATTGCAGTTACATTTATTTATCCAAGCATCCTCAACGTATCGATATATATATTCCTCTTTTAGAGCTGTGAACCGTCACATTGGCTCGCTGAAGCTCCTCAACTTACTTTTGCAATAACAGGTGAGATGGCTCGCCGATGTTCCTCAACTTGCTTTAGCAACAATCGGTGACGACTGCGGTATGACCTGAGGCACCGAGCCCCCGTTTACGGCATGGCTACCATCTGCTGCCCAAAAGCTTGTTGTTTTGGTGTCATCCTTTGTCATCAACTTAGAGTAATCCTCATGGTTGTACACCACAATGTTCTTCCCTCCAAACTCCACCGGAAGGACTTCTGGATCAATGTGCTTGTACATGGTCTTCATACTTTCCTCGTTGTCCTTGTAAACAAAGTTGACTTTCTGGATTGATTTCGGGTCAAGGAATACTTTTATAACCTGAAACCATTTGAAACATTTCAGTTGGAACATCATAAACACAGAATATAGCTCTTTTCGAAAATCTTTCTGAACAGAATCAGGGTAATGAAAGGATGGTGTTCAGAGGCGACACCTTAAAGAAAGCCTCAAATACTTTTGGGGGGTTGAACAAAAACGCAACTGAAAGCCTCTCAGGGTAATGGTTTTGCAGGATATTTGCACTGTCTCTGGCAGTCTTTATGGGGGTTGCATTGGCCAGCGTCCATCCTGTGAAGTCTATCAACCACACCATTTTGTCTAGACCCTGAGGCAGGCTGAGAACTGCATTCTCCAAGGTATATATAAGATACCGAAGCTGCCCTTCATGAGACGATGTATTCTGAAATTGTTTAAAAAATATTATGCAGGTGAATTCGAGGTTAAGGAAGCCATAGGCCCACAAAAAACAGCAAGTGCTTACCTGCTTTGCAGGTCTCATAATAACGACAGTTCTCCCCTCTCTATCTGTGAAAGTTGCCCTGTACATTTTACCTGTTTCTGCTTCCACAGAAACATCAGGCTGAAATGAAAATGAAAACAATCAGAAGAATGCTTGGTTACTTGGTCAAGTTTTTGGAATGAAATCACTTGAGCATTCCAAGGAAGGAAAATGCATATTTACCCAGCGAATATCCTCAGGCTTGCTAGCTGCCCTCCACTTGAGACTTTCTTCCAACATTTTCCTAGACTTGTCAACATTCCAGTTGCGGGCTTCGAGATACCTAGCCAAGCATGCTTCACTGCAGTACTTGTCGCCACGGGCAGACGCAGGCCCAAGTGCAGCTCTCAGTTCGTTGATCTGCTCACGGAAGATTGTTTCATGAGAAATGGACGAAAAAACAGTAGTATATATGTTTAACCAAGATGAAGATACCAAGGTAGTTTTCTCTTTGACAAGAACTAGTATGCATCGATATTGCTTACGGGCTTCCGCTGAACTGGAAACATCTAAAGGATTCATAATAGAGCTTCTACAGTCTCGATACGGAAGGGGGCTATGTTGAATCAGTTGCAACATACATTTGTATCAAAAGAAGCACATGTAAAAAAGCTTGTGTACATTTCACACTCTTAAAGAGTAAAAATGCTACATTACGGGCTTTTATGCAAAACAGAATATCATTCAGTAGTCTACGTAAGATCTGAACTACCACAAAAAATTATGCAAAGAGACATATTGTCACAGTATCATTCCCGTCGCAACATAAGACATGACAATCCTTTGTGAGGGAGTATGTCAAACTATTTGTCTCGCATCAAATAAATAATATATAGGTGATAACTTACATATATCTGCCTTTGTTCTTCATTTATTAAGCCAGAACCATTCAGGCTACTATGCTATATTCAGGTTCAAAGTTTTGCCCATGTTAACTTGTTTAGATATCCTTTCCGGAAAGAAAAAAACTTGTTTAGATATTCACATAAGATGGAAGCTTGATAAAAACCTTGGAAAGAAACTAATGAATCCACCATCATTGTATATATTAGTACCTAGAACATGTACTTTACATGGTAATAGTTCTACAGCATAACCAAAACCTGACTTTCAATTAGTACCTTTGCTTGTCGCTGCTCAGCATCATCTGAATTGAAATGAGAAGTGTGCTTCCTACGAAACATGTTGTCTTCAACTTACTGAGGTTCAACCTTCAAGTGTGAAATGACGACAAATTAACATACATATTAGATGAGTAGATAATTGAATGCAGTTGTACTTTCTATTTGACTAAATTTCAAACATAAGTTCGTCATTACTTTTGAGAGGAAGTGGCTTCAAATCTGACCAAGTTGGCATGAGTCAAGAGATCATGTAGTGAGATTATTGATATTATCTCTGTTTTTCTTCCTATTACAACAGTTCGCAGATAACACTAAAAATGGCAATTAAATTTGGACAAAAAAGACCATGATGTTTCAAGCTGGACAAAAATGACCATAATAATGTAATTATATTTCTAGTGTTCTACTACTACATAATGCTGTAGAATGAACAGCATAAGTAAGCTCTTTTGTGTGCCAATGCAAAAATTACCACACTATAAGGTCTTACCATCCTGGTAAGTCTAAATGAACCATAGACCACAAGCATTTGGACCCATTTCAGCAAGCATAAATAAGCGCACTTGCTCTAACTACTGTCTCCGTCGCAGAAAAAGTATGGGTGCATCTTCCCCTTATTTTCCGTCACACATCAATTAAGAGGGTCAGAAAATGTGGTAAGCCTACAAAGCTCACGTCGTGATCAACTGTCCCAGCAGACTACAACAGGCAACGACAAGTGACCGTACTCCATCCATGAACAAGTCCAAGACCTCTAGAAAAAGTTGCATTGTTCTAGGCCGGCACCAGATCAGATGGGCTTAAAAACATCTGTTTTCTAATCACGTGGCAGGAAAACGTGCGTGAGGTTTCACATGCTGCCACCGTGAGTGGATCGCACCACGGTCCGCGGTGCGTGGAGGAATCCCTGTTTTCTACTATCAGTAGCTGACAAGAAGAGATAGAGGGGCGGCCTTTATTGGTACTAGTTAATTGTTAGGGCGGCCTTAATAGCAGCCCTGATGCAACTCTGACTTGTTAATTGTCACCCCAACTTTTGACTTCTAATGCAGAAGGTTGTGGAGAGATGAAGGTTTCCACATGTTACTTTTACCATCTACTAGTACATAACTCTGTGTTGGTTCATAAATCTTCAGCAAAGAAGCATCAAGATTTATGAGTTCCTAAATCTGTACTGCTGATGCTAGCATGTTTATTTCCTTCTAAAAAGATGCCGCCCTAACAATTAACTAATGCCTGCAGAGTTACAGTATACAGTAAAATAGCAGGGGTTTTCAGATGAACAGAGCCTGATGGATTTCAGGTGGATGGTTTCAGAGTTTTTCAGACACAAGCACAGGATTTACCAATCGGCAGGGGAACGTAGCGAGCAGGAGTGGCTCAATATCATCAGAACATGAACGGGGAAGAATCAACTGAATAATTTTCCAGGCAGGCAGGTAACAAGAACAAGAAATGGAAAAGGAATCAAGAAATAAGGAGAAAAGTTCCCCGTACCAGGAGAAGAAGCCCCGGGGAGAAGACGAACCGGACCTGCACCTCGGCAACTCAGGCTCCGGGAATCACCCACGGAACGGCGGCGAGGAAGGAGCTGGCCGGCGCTGGCTGGGAGTTGGACGGCGCTCTCCTCCTCCTCCTCCTGCCGTCTCGGTGCGCAAGAATAAACAACACGAGAGAGACAAAGGGCGGAGAGGCGGACTGACTGGGGAGGCAACACCGCACCAACGCCGTGGAGTGGAGGTTGCGCGGAATGAATCACGCGCTTGCGATGAGCGGGGGTTCGGGGGAGCACGCGCACGCGCACGCCATTGGAGGCAGGGTCAATTTTGTGGTTGGCCTCGCCGGGAGCGGGTTATTGCTGCGTCGCCAGTGTAGCGGACCCGTTTGTTTGGGTTCTGCTGGTCCGGTCGCGGTGAACCGAACGACGGGTGCGATTTGCAGGCCAAGGGTAACTCTTTCAACGGGAGCTGCCGTGAAACCGACGGGGCGTGGTACACGACTGCGGACAGCGCCGGGGACGTTCGGTACTGTCACTCTTTGAACGAGCGAGATTGTACATTGCACAAAAGAGAACGATCGATCACCTTTCGAAGTTTGCGGTGGACAATCAACCGCATCATCTTCACTGCATTTATGAGATGAGATGGAAAACGCTGGCATTCACCCGACTGATAACTGTCCGCGCGACTCGACGGTCGACTTACCCGGTTGTCGGATCCGAGATTGATTCAACGCATGCACACAGAGCGATTCTTGATCCAACCGGTTTGCGGCATGGGTCATGTTGCACGCTCTCGAGTGCAACTTGGCTCATGTCGTGGAGAGTTCCACGGCCTCATACACATGGCATGTGCCCCTGTGGGCCCGATGTGCCGCTCTTCATCTTTGGTTTATCCTCTAGTCTTTTCCACACACTTTGTCTCACCCTTGCCTTATCCCTTCCTGCATTCGTCATCGTGTAACTCCCCTCCGTATCTCGTTTGTACATAGAGCCGGTGCCGACCAGGTGCGTGGGGCCTGCTGTTGGCTCGCGTAAGGCGAGAAATAGGAAAGAAAGCAGTGTCTAGACGGCTCATTTAGCGCGTCGAGATTGAAAATATGGGGAAGAAAAGAAGCGCACCCCAAGTATTGAACCCTAGTCATAGGGGCAACACCGGCGCTGCTAAACACTGTGATCGCTTCCAATTACTGTTTAGTAGTAGGACCGCAACCTATTGGAGGCGATCGGAGCCAGTTTTCTCCGTTTTTTCTTTCTTTTTCGTTTTCTTTGCTTTTATTTATTTTTTCTTCTCCAATTTTTTTTATTTTTTTTTCATTCTGCATTCTTTTATACATGATCAATATTTTTCCAACTACTTGTTCAATATTTTTTAGATACTTGTTAAACAATTTTTATATACATGATCAACATTTCTCAAATACTCGTTCAACATTTCTCAGATACTTGTTCAATATTTTTTAATACTTGTTCAACATTTTTATATACATGATTAACATTTCTTCAAATACTCGTTCAACATTTTTAAAATACTTGTTCAACACTTATATATACATTATCAACATTTCTTAAAATACTCGTCAACATTTTTCAAATACTCATTCAACATTTTTAATACTCATTCAACATTTTTTCAAATACTTGTTAAATATTCTTAATACTTATTCAACATTTTTCAAATGCTCGTTCAACATTTTTAGGACTTACTTTATGTACTCCTAGGAGTATGTACTGCCATCTTCAATATACCTTGTATACGCGTTGATTATACCTCTTTATCATTCTTAATATACTTCATTAAATATTTTAAAATACCTTATTACGAGTTCCGCTGAAAAAATATCAAACGAGCAACCCAAATCCATCACCCCACCCCGCTACCGCCGACAGACCCACCACCATGTGGCGCGGGATGTGGAGCTCCGGCCGCGGCGCCAGAAGTGGTGAGGACCCCGAGCGGAAGCGCTGCGTCGCCGCCGATGCGGCGAGGAAGCGCTCCACCCGGCAGCACACGAAGCAGGGAGATGGAGGAGTATGACCGGCGGCAGGCTTGGCTCTTCTATGGCGCGGGCAGCTCCGCCGCATCGGCTAGCTCGCGTATTATGCTCCCGACAATGAAGAGGGAGCCGGAGGAGCTCCCACCGCGTCGGCTAGCTCGCGTATTCTTCTCTCGCCGATGAAGAGGGAGCCAGAGGAGCTCCTGCCACTCCGCGCGGTGAAGAGGGAGCCGGAGGCGGAGCGGCGGGGTGCCGACGTCGTCGTGCCGGAGGAACTCCCCCCTCCTTCCGATGCGGATGCCATTGAGGCAGCCACAGCGCCGCCGCCAGGACGAGGAACTCGACGCCGTCCTGTACGAGCAGGGACTCACGATGGCACGCGGTTTCAATGACAACATGTCTGTGTGGTGCCGTGAAGCCACCGCACAGGATGCCATCTTCGTCGACCTCACCTCCGACGATGACGATTGATGATCTCCATTGTTGCAGCGTCGCCGCCGCACCCTGATGTCTACTACACAACCTTTTTCTTGTAGACGTTGTTGGGCCTCTAAGTGTAGAGGTTTGTAGGACAGTAGCAAATTTTCCTCAAGTGGATGATCTAAGGTTTATCAATCCGTAGGAGGCGTGGGATAAAGATGGTCTCTCTCAAGCAACCCTGCAACCAAATAACAAAGAGTCTCTTGTGTCCCCAACACACCCAATACAATGGTAAATTGTATAGGTGCACTAGTTCAGCGAAGAGATGGTGATACAAGTGGTATATGGATAGTAGGTAATAATTTTTGTAATCTGAAAATATAAAAACAGTAAGGTAACTAATGATAAAAGTGAGCGTAAACGGTATTGCAATGCGTTAAAACAAGGCCTAGGGTTCATACTTTCGCTAGTGTAAGTTCCCTCAACAATACTAACATAATTAGATCATATAACTATCCCTCAACATGCAACAAAGAATCACTCCAAAGTCACTAATAACGAAGAACCAACGAAGAGATTATGGTAGGGTACGAAACCACCTCAAAGTTATTCTTTGCAATCAATCCGTTGGGCTATTCCTATAAGTGTCACAAACAGCCCTAGAGTTCGTACTAGAATAACACCTTAAGACACAAATCAACCAAAACCCTAATGTCACATAGATACTCCAATGTCACTTCAAGTATCCGTGGGTATGATTATACGATATGCGTCACACAATCTCAGATTCATCTATTCAACCAACACAAAGGACCTCAAAGAGTGCCCTAAAGTTCTACCGGAGAATCACGACGAAAACGTGTGCCAACCCCTATGCATAGGTTCATGGGCGGAACCCGCAAGTTGATCACCAAAACATACATCAAGTGAATCACGTGATATCCCATTGTTACCACAGATATCCACGGCAAGCATACATCAAGTGTTCTCAAATCTTTAAAGACTCAATCCGATAAGATTACTTCAAAGGGAAAACTCAATTCATTGCAAGAGAGAAGAGGGGGAGGAGAAACATAGGATCTAACTATAATAGCAAAGCTCGCGATACATCAAGATCGTATCATCTCAAGAACACGAGAGAGAGAGAGAGATCAAACACATAGCTACTGGTACATACCCTCAGCCCCGAGGGAGAACTACTCCCTCCTCGTCATGGAGAGCACCGGGATGATGAAGATGGCCACCAGAGAAGGATTGCCCCCTCCGGCAGGGTGCCGAACGGGTCTAGATTGATTTTCGGTGGCTACGGAGGCTTTTGGCGGCGGAACTCCCGATCTATTGTCTGTTCTGGAAGTTTTAGGGTACGACGATATATATGGGTGCAGGAAGTACGTCGGAGGACCGAAGGGGGGGCCACGAGGCAGGGGGGCGCGCCCTAGGGGGGGCGCCCCCCACCCTCGTGAGCACCTCCCGTATCTCCTGATGTGGAGTCCAAGTCTATCTGGTGACTTTCGATCCAAAAATAACTTCTCCAGTTAATTTCGTTCCGTTTCGACTCCGTTTGATATTCCTTTTCTTCGAAACACTGAAATAGGAATAAAACAACAAATCTGGGCTGGGCCTCCGGTTATTAGGTTAGTCCCAAAAGTAATATAAAAGTGGATAATAAAGCCCAATATTGCCCAAAACAGTAGATAATATAGCATGAAGCAATCAAAAATTATAGATACATTGAAGACGTATCACACCCGGAGGGCTCCGGTGAGCCACATTTTGGGCATTGGGGTTAGGGGTAGGCAGCCTCCTCCGATCTAGTATATGTAAACCAACAATCAACTATGTATGGATGCACCTAGTTCTATTGCTTGTGTTCTTCTCTCGCATGAATTTTCTTTTCAAATCGAAATTGCTTCATGCGCGACACATTCGCACGATCTGCGAACGATACCTCCCCCCACGCTAGCGTCAGCTCAAGAAACGAACCGCTCAAGAAAAGGCAGAGCTACCGTCAAGCCCAACCCAGCCCAAACCCAGACCCGATCTGACCCCCTCCATAACCCTTTCACGCCTTCTCCCCTTCCCTCCATGACCATGGCGTCTTCTCCTCTTACCTCCAAAACCTTGACGCCTCCTCCTTCCCCCAAATCTGGATCCTCTCTTGCTGATTTATAGATCAATCTTGCTCAAGATAATCTGCAGCCACTACACACAAGGTTGATAAGAAGGGCAAACAACATGAGGTCTGTACAATTCTTGGCTTATTTTTTGCATTGATTGGATCCAATCTATACATGTTCCATGCATAATATTGTTCTCCCACTACAACATCTCTGATTGCATTGATTGGATCCAATCTATACATGTTTCAGACTTAATATTATCCTCCCACTACAACATCTGATTGCATTGATTAATCCAATCTATACATGTTCCACACTAAATATATGCCTCCCACTATACAACATCTCTGATCTTTTTGTTGGCAATTTTAGGTACTCAATCGAGCCGGGTTTAAATTTGGATGAAGTAGCAGAACAGAATAGACCAGTACTTGACGAAGATGATGAAGATGCTTTCATCGTCGAGGAGATTGGGGATTCTTCGGATGAACGACAAGTAAAGCCAATCAGGACATTGGAATCCAGGAAGGGGATGGTGTTCGATAGTGAGGATGATGCTGTCAGGTTCTACAAAGGTTATGCCAAAAAGAAGGGCTTTGGTGTGATGAGAAGGACGACTAGATACGGAGAAGATAACATGGTTACTTATTTTACTCTCGCTTGTAGCAGACAAGGAAAGACTCAATGCTTAGAAAAGAACTCATTTATGCCTAATCCGTCGACAAGGATGCAATGCCCAGCTAAGAGTAATTTCTCCCGCCGTGAGGAGAAGTTTTGTATTACGTCTCTTACGCTTGACCACAATCATCCTATAAGTCCAAGCAAATCCAGATTTTTTAGATGCCACAAGAAGTTGGACTTGCATTCAAAGAGAAGGCTAGAATTGAATGATCAAGCAGGAATCCGTATGAACAAGAATTTTGGTTCTCTTGTTATGGAAGCTGGCGGATATGGAAATCTTGAGTTTGGTGAAAAGGAATGTAGGAATGCAAGAGAAAAGAAGGCTGCAACTTGGTGCTGGAGATGCACATGTTGTTTATCAATATTTTCTTCGTATGCAATCAAAAGATCCAGACTTTTTCCATGTTATGGATGTGGCTGAGGATGGACGTCTGAGAAATGTCTTTTGGGCAGATGCAAGAAGCAGGGCTGCATATGAGTCTTATTGGGATGCCATCACATTTGACACTACATACTTAACAAACAAGTATAAAATGAAGGATATGAGGCTGGAAGTTTTTTGTTCTTTCCAAATGAGTTCCAGGTACTTAGTTTGAGC